AAGGAAGAAAGTAGGGGATGGAGGCACTCTTAGATCTGTGTTGCCAGAAAAGGAAACTTCCGAGGAACAGAGAATTCTAGTGAAGAATGCAGTACTTCCTGCATCAGATCCTAACTTCTGCTTCAGTAGCAATATCACAGGGAGAAAGCTATTTTACCTTGATTAGAAGCCTTTCAAGAAAAAAAGAGAATCCACCCCTAGGTGACTTGTTCCAACAAGCCTTAATTCTAAAACCCCCCTTATAGCAATTACCTTCAATTAGAAAAATTATTATTCCCAGATTTTATATAATACCACCAATGTGGAAGAGGTCAAGATCTCAGTCTCATGACTGCTGAAAGATGAGCTGAGTCCAGTATCTAATAGAAAAGATAAAAGTATATCATGTATATTTATTTTTAGAGAGTAAAAACTTTTCAGTTCACATTTCAGAGCTTTTTTCCACATCCAAAAGCAACAGGAGGAAACAAGAACTGCTCTCCTCAGCATTCTGCAAAAGCCAACAACAAAAAAAAGCCATTAGAAGATGGACCAGTATCACCAGAAACAGCTGTTTTATAAGCCAATAGATCAATGGGCTTAACAAATGAGAATGCCCTGCACGTGAGCATTTGCTTTATGCAATTCCCCACTGCTTTGAATCCGAATATAAAGACTGAAATCCTGTCTGCCGTGAATTGAACAGGGCAAGGATTTCTCCCTAAGGAGAAGTTTATAGATAGGCTGTTGAAGAGGGCTCACTGTATAGAACAAAAGCTGCCTAGTTTGCCTTTTGGAAAAGGATGAAGAAATTTTGCATAATAGGTTACCACGGACCTGACTTGGGTGCTCAATGACACTTACTCTAAGCGTTCATTATCGACTGATTCTTTAGCATTGAATCCGGCTCATGAACTCACTTTTTCTCCCCCATATAATATTTCTCTAATACCAAATGACAATCCAAATAATTCTTTTTCTGTGTACGGAATATTTTAGATCATAGATTGCATATAGAAAAGCCATAGATTTCAAATGGAAAAAATAAACGTTTTGTATATTCTTTCTTTCCTCTTGCAAAGGTGCAGACATTCAGACCTTACTCAAAGTCTGTGTTTCTACTATATAGTGTTTAATGAAAATTAAATGTTTGAGCCTAAGGATAATTGATTTATATATTTTTGAGAGAAAAAAAATCCAAGAAATTTAAAGATAGTAAGGGCTAAGATCCAGATTTAAGAAGGTACTTAAACAGGTATTTAATTTAAAAGACAGGAGTAATATTTTTTTTAACATACTTGGACTTTTTTTTTTTTTTTTTTTAAATCTGAAGTGTCTCACATAATCGCCTGCAGCCAGGAAAGCCTGAATATTTAAAGCCTTAGTAACATTTCTGGAGTCAGGCATATAATTAAGAATATTTTCAAAGCAAAATCTGCTATAAAGATTGCTGTGAATTTCCTTCAATATACAAAAACAGCTCAGAATTTGGGTTTGTATCCTGTGTTGGGACAATACATGACAATACTGTAATTAATGTACAAATGTAATGTTTGTAAGAATTTCTGTCTCCCCTCCAAATTCCTAACCCAAACAAGAAGTGGTGCAATGTGCCATGAGATGTAATTCATGGCATCCGACATGTGAGCGACAGAGCAGAACCAGGGCTCAGCACTTCTGCCCCCAGCCAAGTGCTTTACCCTCTGCACCAAACGATCCCCCTGATAAATATTATGGCTAGGTTCAGCTGCCTCGAGAGAAAGCAAAAGCCTTGCTGGATTTACAGTAATGTTATCTCATTCTGTCTTAACAACAAAACCCCTTCTGTCTTTTTAGGAGCTGGAAATGCAAAGGTAAAGCTTTGCTCTAGGGCTGTACCATGGTGAGAGAGGAGACGGAAATTGCTAATCGCAACCCAGAAGCAGTTGGCTCACAAGTAAGTTGAAAGAAACACATGTGACTTGAGGCACAAGGAGTGTTATTAAGCAGAAGAGCTACTTGAAATTGGGAATCTTTGAGAGGCTGTGGTTTTCATTGTCTAAAATGTTATTTGGCATTTTTTTCTGAATATTCAACCCATGCGTTAGGTAATCCTTGGGTGTAACAGCAAGAGGCTGGGAAAGGACAAAGTGTGTCAGCTAAATCTTTGAATTCTTTTGTGTTCAGAGAGTAATACCAACTCTTAAATGTTACTTGAGAAGTGTTTCTGGCACCGAGTTAATACATAGATGGTCCCAGTGCAGGACTAACCTGCTGCCACCCTGGCAAACATCTAGGATTGCAAAGCTCTTCGCATGTGTTTGGAAATGAGGCTGCTCGTCCTGACACACATCTAGCATTGCAAAGCTCTTTGCATGTGTTTGGAAATGAGGCTGCTCTAACAGCCAGAGACTTTAAAGGTAGGAGCTCTTTCTCCTGGCTCCTCTGGATGCGGATCTCACTGGGGCATGCAGAGAGGTCACCCACAGAGGCTAAAGCTGTGAAAACAGAGCCTGAATCTGAACACCTGGGAATAACTCTGCTGACAACACTGGAGTTAAATGGGCAGGGAAACCACCGTTTGCTGAACACGTTTCCTACCGGTGCTGTTAGCAGTACCACACGAGTTAGTTGTATCGTGTATGCTAGCGTTCACCAAGCGCTACCCACTGTGCCCAGAAACCTTAACTAGAGAGCATGCTACGGGACACTCTTCCGGTGCTGGTAACTCAGTACCCGGCTGTGTGAGAAGAGAAATCGTCCCAGTCCAACGAGATTCACTCAGACCAATGAGAAGATAAGCTTAACGCCGTACTGGACAAAAAAATTCCCGTTTTAAGGTTGAAGATTAAAATAACTTGGAATGACAGTGAATTGTTCCCACATGTTGCAATGTCCCCCTCCACGAGTCTCGTGGCTTGGGTCCTTGCGCAGCTTTGGGATCAGCTAACACAGTCCCCTCACAGCTGACGCTAACACACGCTGAGGGCATCGTGCACACAGCGTAAGAGCCCATGATGAATGGAGACGGAACCCGCTTGTGCCGCTGTGCTGCTTCAATGGGGAGGAAGGCAACTCCACTCCGTCTGTCACTGATTTGGGTAACGTGTAGAAAAACGGAGGGAGAACTCTAAAGCAATGGAGGGAGTTAATTTTCCTTGGAGCAAAGATGCAGTAACGCAGCACTCTTGGGGCTGAATTCTCCACAGTATTCTGGCCTTAGCATCAGTGTCAGTAAGGAAACCGTTCAGCAGAAAAAGATACGCTAGTTGCTCAGATCCAACAATGCACATGCAAGTACACTTAAGCTTTCGCTCTACACTGGAATTTGTTTCTATTCATTAAATGTAAACGAGGACACATGAACACACAGGTAGCCTGAAGTCAGCAAGCGAACCAACCCACCTTAAAAAAGTAAAGAACATGACACAACCCTGGAACTGATTTAGCCTTACCCCAGTAGTAACAAATTTTCTCCTGTATGATCTGGTTCTCAATTTCTCATACATGTTCACCATTCACTTCAAACAAAGTTTTGGACAGAATTTCCTATAACCCTTTCCAGTCTTGCATCCTTAAGCCACCTGTTACCATGACAGGCTGTCTTTCAGGGTACAGCCTGATCTTCTTGTGCTGTTGGCACTATAGATCTTGTATGCAGCTACAGCATGCAGTATGGAGCATCTTACCTAGACTTTGTCCGTCTACCATAATTCATGCAACTTAGCCGATGGGCTTAGGGCAAACAAGCAAAGCTTATGCAAATGCTTAAATTTAAGCATGAGATCAAGTACTCTACTAAGCCAGGGCCTTTCTCAGGAATGATAAATGTGAAAAACATGGAAAAGCAGGGTGAGCCCATGTAGATTGAAGATATAAAAAAGTACTTCTTCAGCATCGGGCAAAATATTTGCATACATTACAGTGGCCTTTGCATTGTGAGGATTAATAATTTCCTAATACACAAGGTTGGTCAAAAAAAGCAAAAGCATGGGAACATGCCTTTAAGATAAAAATAACAGGAAGTCTTACAAAGGTAATTTATTTGCAATTAACGCCTATTTCTCACTCTAGCTTTCAAAACAACCTCTGCACTGAACCTTACTTTCAAACCATCAACTTGAATTCTGATTTTGTGAAGAAGACACCCTTCTACCTTGTGTGAATGGCAGCATAATTAAAGCCCTGACAAGCAGATAAATCCAGAATGGTTCTGCAGAATTCATCCTTTTGCACTTTACAGATGGTTTCAAAACAACACATGAAGAGAATATGGACATTCTCTTGGTGAATATGACAAACCCCATCAGTGTAGCTGAAGTCAGTTATTACTAACAGTCCATTTACTCCTACCACCAACTGCTAATTCATTGAAGACCACAGTTGGAGGTAGCAGGGTGACAAATTCAAGTCCAGCATCCTAGCAGCACTAGGAATCTGGACTCAGATCATCTGTTAAGTAAAACGCCAAGTACATACGTGCCGACAGCATGCAGCATTCCAACAGAATCTAGCGTGTCTCGGGGCCATCCATATGCTCCACCATATGTCCATGAGGAGTGGGGTCCAGAATCACAGTCTCTGGAAAGCGTAGGTCTCCCAGGCTCTCAAGATACCAGCCAGGATCCCTATTTTGCTGTATTAATTGGTGTGTAAGCACCTGTATTCCCTCCAACAAACTAGTGATTTTAGCTCAGAGGGCAATATGGAACATAACCGTTGCCGATTCAGAAGCTGGCTCCCACAGGGCACATTCTGCTATGGATGAAAAGGTTGCTCTGGGCTGTGTTTCTTCAGAGCCAACTCAACTTTTGTGTACTAACTACAAAGAAGCTGCAGCGACAGGGATGCTACCATTTAAAAACAGCAGTTCTGATGAGCACCTAGACACAGACTGGATTTTAACAGCCTAGCATAGAGGAATACACATTCAACTCACTCAGGAGAAGACAGGATGCTTTATAAATGCCTCCTATTCTGCTCTTCACTAACATTTTTCTGGGGATGATTAACTGCAGAGTGTTTTCACAGTTCAGTCCTACCTTATCGCTGTCCACTGTGTTCTGCGACGTCCTGGATGCAATGGAAATGGTGTCAGGTTGACTGCTACCATCTCCTTGGCTGTCTGCGTCATCTACTCCATCTCTGCAAAAGACATAACAGGGAAACAACAACGCTTACTTAACACACCACCCTGGAATGTGCACAGCTTTATAGGCGGATTTGAGAAGTGCCGAGTCAGCGTGCCAGAGCTGGCTTTGTGCTAAAATTCCTGTACTGGTGCAGGCCATGTTGCTATGTAGTTTGCAATTTAAGATGATGTCAACCTCAGCCATAGGGATGGGATTAGCACATAATCCCAATGTTTGGTGCTGGAAACAGGATGGCTGTTGCCTGCATATTTACAGCACAGAAGGCTCTGGTGTTCAGAAATAGCTCTGTAATGAGGGTGTCAGGCAGAAATTTTCCTTCAATTAGATTTCTGCCTTAACCAAAACCATCCAGCCCAGTCTACATAAGACACTGAAGGAAAAGTTATTTCTCTTGTCTCACAGGAACAACGTTTTCAGGAATTTAATACTAAGCCATAAAAATTATATCCAAACAAACATAAACAAGGACAGTGTAGAGCTCTACAAGTTTACCTCTATATGTCTGCTAACAGAAGCTATTGTCTTCTCTTTTGCTGTATAGTTATCCTAAATTTTTACTGGTCTTTCAAAATAAACAATAATACAAAATACATATTTAAGGACAAAGGAAAAAAAAAAATCAGATCCCCATTCTGTACTAGAAAATTCTTGTGCATGTCCCCAAGAAGAACTGTCTGGATCTTTGCCTTGCTACAGATCTCCTGGGTGACCTTGGCTACTCGTGCTTTGGATGCCTCTATAATACAGCCTGAAGTAAAAGGGTGATAAATCTTGATGAGGAAATGGAGATCCTCAAATTACAAGTGGCTTTTGGGAATGCCAGCATGACAGCAAAAGAACAATTCATTTTCTATAATTTCTACTTATTCCAGGATTCAGAGAAGTTAAGAACAAAAAAATTACTATTACTTCACAGGTTGAACTGAATTTGCATTTCATGATGAAACAGATTCTCCACTGTAGTAATATATTGTCACCACCAGTGGTGACTTTCACTGTCAAACAATTCAAAATGCCAAACGGGGAAAAGGGAGGGGGGGGGAAATCTATTAATACTCAAATGTGAAGAAGTAAATTCTGCTTTGACAAAGAAACATAACCTTGTAATCTGAAGAATTTTTACTGTTAATTTCTCTCCAGTATTTTGGAGTACTAAAATAAAAGGCCTTTGTATGTACATCATAGAAAAGCTTTCTAGCTACTTTTGCCAAGACAACACATGAAAAAAAAGATGATGACAACTGCTTTTGACTATAGTAAGAAAAAGTAAGTGAATCCAGTAAAAAGCCCATAGACCCTACACTGCTGTTGATCAAGCAAACGCTAGGGATTTCACACTGTATGGAATGACTGAGGTTACCTTCTGCTGTTGTTTCGCTGCTTTGCTGGTGTCTTGGGGAGCTGAATTGGCTCTTTCAGAGCTCCTTTCAGATGGATAATCCTTTCTTGAATGACTTCTCGGATATTTTTGATCCATTCCTGTTTTGTTTCAATACTGGACGCCTAAAGTTCCACAAGGCAGAAAGACAGACACTATCATATTCCCAGCATGTCACCTCCTATCTAGAAAAATCGTGGTTGGTTACTGAAAATTCACAATTAACTGTTTCTCCTCTCTGCTATATTGTTTTAGCTGCTGGAGTACCTGGTAACCCCAGAAGAACTTTTATCAGATCTACTTGGCAAGCAACAGCAAAGCAGCTAAACCCTGGATAAATACGTTTAATGCTTGCAATACAGCACACACTGTGGAGGGGAAATCAGTGCACAGCTGCGATTTCCACAGACAAAATAACTATAACACGGATTCGTTATTCAAAACTCACTTGACAAAAATGGCTGTCAGCTCTGGAGGTTCAAAGAATAGGTTGACTGTCAATAAGCCTGGTGGCAAAGGACCAACAGAATCACATTTCCTAGCCAAACACCCTGAGATGTGCCCCGTGTCAGTGTGCAGCTGCTCAGCCCCGGTTGCACAAGGAGATGCCAATGCCATTTCAGGCCGCACAACTGCACTGTCTTGATTCACACTGAGACCTTAGAGCTGAATTGCTCCTGATGACCCTGCTGACAGACATCAAGCCATGCAAATACAAGGAGGGAACAAACTGACCTTTCATTTAGTCCTCCCAAGGCCTCAACTAGCTCTAAAGGCAAAGAAAGCAAGCAGGAAAGACTTACTTTCAACACTGTTTTATTGTCTGAGGATGGTGTTCGTCCAGACCACAAAGCAAATTTACAGGGATCTCCTTCAACATGTTCAGTCACTCCCAGTTCTGAGGTCTAGTGTGGAGGAGAGAGCATGAGAGATTTTGTATATATGAAGCCTCATGAGTCCAGAAAACTTTACATTTACAGGGAGAAGTGGGGAGGCAGGGATGAATAAGGGAGCAAGATCTTGTCTCTGCTTTGCTACACACAGATAAAAGAAACCAAAAACCAGCAGGGAATGGCAAGGAAGTGAATGGGTTGACTGATCCTCCTTGCATTTTCCACCCACCCTTCACATCTCACTACCTTAAACCTCCCCAGACTCACTGTGAGCTTGGCTTCCAAGATGAGCCTCACAGGGCCCACAGCCAGCTCTCTTCCAGGTGGCACGAGTATCCCCAACCCAGCGTGGGGACATGTGAGCCATCCCCCAAACTCCACCTCTGCCTACCAGAAACACAACACATGGAATATTTTCTTTGCAGCCACACCTACCAGTAACTTGTTCTTGTAAACATATTTTGTGTGTCCTGAAGAATCTTTGATCTCTTTGCTAAACACCAAAGAGATTTCAAAGAGAAACAAATGCCTTTCACGGCCTTTCCGAATGAGAGACTTGGGATCCCACACTTGGAAGGAATCCTGAAGAATCAGCTCTCCCTGGACATCCAGGTTCTCATCAAACCCTAAAACCACAAAATATATTTGGATTTATTCTTGGGAACATTAATGCCCAGAAAGACCAGAGCAATAAGGACCTGAAATAAAAGGGCCTTTCCCTTTTTTAATGCATATTCTAAAGGACATTAATGTGCATCCACTGGCCAGTGAAAATATTTTTCTTTTTTTTCCTACTGCAATGCTATAATTATTTCACCAGAGGCAAATATGTCATATGTGCTAAATGAGACTGCTGCTAAGTGTAGTAGTAATTACTTAAAGATAAATACTATAAAGGTTTCAGTAGTGCTTACTGTACACAGAACTGCAACGCAAGGAATCTTATGCACGTCAACGCAAACGCAGAGAAACACAGCGTGCGGTGGCTGAAGTGCCCCATCACGCCCTGATGCCTTCAAGCCATGCTAGCTAATGCAGCCTCCCACGGGCTGTGAGGGCACAGCCGTGGCATGGGGAAGCTACACCTGAGGGCAAATTGGTACAGTGTCTGAAACAAGCTTCCCAGGAGGAGTTTCTCATCTTCCAAGCCGCATGTCCAAAACCTTCACATGGCTGAAGATCATGGGATTCCCTCCATGTAACTGGGAGAGTTGAGGGAAAAGGGGATCCATAGTGCAAAGTGCTCTCCAAGCTGCTCTCTCAGCAGCTTGTGGGTCACACTTCTTTCCAAAGCCGGGGACCAGCTCCTCCACCAGCAGAGACTGCTGTTGCTCATGCCAGATAGTCCTGGAAGAGCACCAAACACCCCTGATCCCTGCTTCAAATATTCAGGAATAACATTTTATTCAGAAGACAACCGCACAAGTGCTTGTCTACCCTAACAAAGTCATCTCTGCTTCTTTATTATTGCGTGGTGCTGGTCATCTCATGGGGACAGGTTATCCAGGCATGGGTCAGTTTGCCCCCCTGCAATTTTAATAACTTGGTCTTAATGTGCTGCTTAGCTACTGGCACCATTTCTTTTTTCTTGCCTAAGTACTCTTCTTGTTTCCTGGTGCTGGCTCAAGCCAGGCTGGAAATGATTTTCCCAGGCCAAGAAAATGTTTGAGAGACAATAAAGTGTCTTTGTCCAGAATAAAATTTTTAAATTTTAGAAATAGTCCACACATCAAAAAGCCAATAAAAGACAACTTTTGGGCAATCAAAATATTTTTTTTCTGTAATTTTGAAATACTCCTCAGTAATACTTTTTCCTTTTTTTTTAATCTTTGGGATAATTATACTAACATTCTGAAACACAAGCTGTTTTGACTCAAAAAACCAGGACTTTTTATTTTGGAATGTGGAGACAGGCTTTAGAAATGTTTTCATCCAATAATCATTACTGCTGCCAGCAGCTACACTGATACTGTTTCAGGAGGGGTTTTTTGTGTGTGTGTCATTAATCAGGAATGTTTTAATCAAATACACATATACATTGTATCTACATACATATATACACACACGTGTATGTACATATATATATATATACACACAATAAATACATATACACACACACCTAAGATAGAAATAAATAAAACTCCCCAAACTTCCTAACTAGCTTCATTCTTCCAAGACTTCTGGAGAAATAACAGAAAGGAGCTAGGAAGGACCTGAACATTATGATCAACCAACAGTATTGCTACAGCCAACCCGTACTAACTTCCTACACAAGCAACAAGAAGGCTTCATTGCTCGGCGGGTCCCTCCCCTGCCCCAGCCACCCACCCATCTGCTACCTTCCAGCATGCTGACGTGCATTGCGTCGTTGGCCTTCTTCGGGACGCTGAGCATCACTTCCAGACCATCTTTGAGTTCCCCTTTGCCCTCCTCGCAGCAGGTTAGCAGTTCCTAAGAAGCAATGCAGAACACCTATAAACAAACTCCGTCCAGCATGCTGGCTTCATCTCACACTGGTTTTGTTGGCAAGTAGAACACCAAGCTGCATCCGCTTTGCTAGCAGTGGCAGGAGAAAGCTGAAATGCATCAAAACACACTGTGGATGCTCACAGAGAGCGGGGATCAAATGGGAATGACTATAAAGCAAGACACATAAGGTGCTGGAGTGAGACCCTGCACTCAGTGGGTTTCTGGGGATTTATGCCCACGCAGCAGATATCCGTCAGTCCCACTGTGCCAGCAGGTTGCAGGAGAACCCCCTGATCCAGCAGTGAGTACCACAGTGCGGGCAGGACTGGCAGTGTGCTGTGCCCAAGGCAGGGAGGCCCCTTCAAGAAGGATTCACCTGAGGAGAATCACAGAATCATAGAATCATAGAATGGTTTGGGTTGGAAGGGACCTGAAAGATCATCTAGTTCCAACCCCCCTGCATTGGGCAGGGGCACCTTCCACTAGACCAGGTTGCTCAAAGCCTCGTCCAGCCTGGCCTTGAAGACAGCCAAGGATAGGGCATCCACATCTCTGGTCAACTTGTTCCAGTGCTTCTCCACCCTCTCCGTGAAGAACTTCTTCCTGCCATCTAATCTAAACCTCCCCGCTTTCAGTTTAACCCCGTTCCCCCTTGTCCTGTCACTACAGGCCCTTGTAAAAAGTCCCCTCCCAGCTTCCTTGTAGGCCCCCTTTAGGTACTGGAAGGCTGCAATAAGTCTCCCAGAGCCTTCCAGTATACCAAAGGCGTGATGGCTGAAGGGGTGTTTTACTCTTCCCATCAGCAGATGCATTGTGCAGTGCAGGCTTGCTCTCCCACAGCACTCACAAGACTGTGGTAAAGCTGTGTGTTGTGTCAGTAAGCTGGTACAACGCACAGATTGGCCAACACACTGAATGTACTCAGTAAGTACCTTCCTAGTACAGCATACCACTCCTTTGGTAGGTACACAGGAAGCTTTAAAGAGATGCAAGTATCATACCTGGTCCTAGCTTTTCAAAGTCAGGATCTGTCTCTTCCCTTATTGCCCAGGTATTTTTTTCTTCTCTGGTTTACTAGTTTTGAAGTGAACAGTGGCTGGTTAAGTTAGATCTAAAATTCACCTACTCACAAGATACTGCAAAAATCTGTAATAAAGTCACAACCAACCAACAATATTTTTTTAATGGGAAATATTAATGTTTCACTTGGAAGTCCTTGCTTTGTACATGAAGCTTTCCCTTGTTTTTCAAACACAAACATGTTAGTTCCCAACCAGCTTCTAATGCCAGTGAATGAGTATCAGTCAAGAGTCCGTGTAACCTCCCAAAGTTCATTACTGCTGTCACTGAAGCCTTTAATCAAAACATTGCATGTCACAAACTTAGCAAGAAGAAAAGTAAATAGTTCTGTCATCCCTTCAAATTTCCCTTTTCCAGTTCTTGCTTTTTCAGGGTTAAATGCACTTGGATACAAAAAAAATCCAGTTGAAACAGGTGATCAGCTTTTCACTGTTTTTTTTCTTTCTGTGAGTCTTTTCCTTTAAAACACCCAACCTGATTTCACACTTTGCTGCTGTGCTCAGGCCTGGGAAGTAGGAGCAGCAGCAGCTGCTTGCATGTCATGAACAAGTGACAACGCAGCTTCCTTAAGAATAAGTTAACTCATTACACCAGTGAACTGCTCTGCATGAGCTGATTTGGGCAGCTCACTAAGGTACCTTCAGTAGGAGTTGATATTTTGTGATCCTCTGGACAGGCTTGATTAAATAAGAAGAGATAGAGTTGGCCAGACCGTGTCTTTGCTGAATTTCCTAGAAGAGATAAAACCAGCAGTCAGTCATGGAAAACTATTAACCCCCTGCCAACAGAACCACCCATAACTAATTTTAGCTCTGGATCTCTGCATTTCTTCATTTAGTTTAACTCTCTATAATCTCACATGCAAATAATGGTGGTTTCAGAGAAGCTGGCAATGAACTGCAGTCCCCTTAAGGCCACTTAAACTGCAGGGGCCCTGTGCAAGTCAAGCTAAGGCTATGTTGAGTAAACTACACAGACTTCGATTTAAACACGACTTATCTGTCATGTCAACTGGTTTCTCTTCGCTATGAAGGCTGAAAGCAGAGTCTTAACATTCAATTAAAATGGAGTGACATTAAATGAAATTGCATGCGTAAGGTGTAATTTAGCTGTCTAAACATAGGCATCTAGTACCATTTGAGCACCCTGGGGTAGCTGAAACATCCACAGGGGAGTAACAGGTCTGACACAGTGCTGACGGGCCTGTGGCATTCTGAGGTGGCAGCTGGGGGCCAGGAGAGATACCCTTATGATACCTTATACAGCACTGAATACTTCTGGTTTGTCACCTCAACCAGAATGTCTGTGCTGATCAGCGTGATGTGCTCAAGAACATCTGGAGACACTGCAGAGGTCTGCAAAGGGCTCAGCTGCCTCCCTCCAACTGGTTCCAGTGGGAGTTAGGAGCTCCTGAGAATCCTACAGGACCCTAAACCACATATTTAGCTATCTAAAAGACTTCCAACTCATGCCCTACAGGGGCAGATTGTCTGCTGAAACAGAACAGGTTGGAATGCCTTCTGTTCTCCACGGGGTCCTGGGCATGCCTCTCCTTGCTCCTGGCCGTCAAGAAATCCTCAGGTTCTAAGGGAGGAGATGGGGAGGGGAATAGGACTTATCTACAGCTACTGGAGACTAAATTTGAGGCTGTGAAGGAAAGAAGTTACAGAAAATGAAGGGGGAAGAGCTGCCAAGAATAGAGATTTTCTTTATGTATACAGTCTGATTTTCTGCTGAGTACAAGGGAGGTTACTGGCTTTTTTAGCTCCGGTGTTTATGCTGGGATGCAAAAATAGCCATTTTTCACACAATGTGCCAAGACCTTTTTTGGTTTTTTGGGTACCAGGCAAGTGTGTTTTAGGAAAAAAAATAATCACCTCTGGTGCCATGAACAGGACTCAAAAGGGAAGGGGCTCTGCGTAGTGGTTACTGGAGTTTGCATGAAGCTGAGTCACGGCTGGCTCCAAACAGGGACAGTGTCTGCAGAGCACACGGCTGGGACTCAGTAACAGTGGAAGCCAGCAAGACCTCGGCCACGTCTGTGAACTTCCTGGAGCTGGCTAAGTGCATTTGTTTTTGTAGGATCCGAGTAATGAATTTAGTGCTATTCCTTCCTCCCAGCTCTCCAAATAGCAGGGCATGTTCCCAGCAAGATGCCTCCTCTTTGGGCATTCCTTGCTCTGCTAGGACGCTCCCCAGGCAGACTGCGGAGACAGAGTAGGTTGCCGAAGTGACAGCCGTCACTGCTGCTGCTCAGGAACCTGCAGCAGGGAAGCAATAGCACTGCTACATGGCAATGGGACAAATGGACTGCTGGAAAGGGAGATCTCCCTGTGGTTCCTCCCTCCGGTCCCCAAAGTGTTGGAGTAAGATGGCAACCTGCTGGAATGTGTCTTGGGTTGGCTTTGTAACAGCTGGAGAGGTCCAGACTTACAGTGAGTGGAGGTGGAAATTGGAGAGGTCTGTGCAAGGTTGAGCACGGTAGTGCAGACGTTTTTACACACCCCCCTGAGTAACATGAAGCAGAGAGATCTTTGAGCTAGCTTTGAAGCAGCTGGCAAGTTTCAGACACAAGCTAGCCAGAGGGCTCTGTGCTCTCTACTTTGCCCTGCTCCTTGTTTATACCAAGCTTGGTTCACGTTATAGTGCACCACAGCTCACTATTAAACACAACTTTAGTTATTCCTTAGGTGCAAAAGTGTCCCAAGGGCCTGGAAGAATTGAAGGTATCTGACAGGCACCATGTGCTGGCAGTTGTGTGTTGCAATCCAGATGAGCTGCAGAACAGGATCAACGTCTAGTCTGACATGCAACAACAGAATCCCAGACAAACATCAAAAATATCCCCTGTGCAGGGCAGCTCAGGACCCTCAGAGGCCCTTGGATGGACAACATGGAGACAGGATACTTGAATACAATTTCGTACTATAAGAACTGCTGAATCTACCATGCTAGCAATTCAGAGTTTCAGATGAGGTATGTCACTTATCTTTGCTCCTTCACCTAATTAGCTAACCCTTGCAATGAGCCACGAAGCTGCAAATTTTCCAGGGATGTGAAGCTTCAGACAGAGTACTGGGACTACTTGTTTTCGTCTTGAAAGTGGCTTTATATCACAGTTTAAGGGGGTGTACACTTGTGATCTTCAAGCAGGCTTCTTACTAAGTAGTGTTATTCTACATAGCACATGTGCATCATCAGGGTGTTTGGGGAAATTCCAGGTTATTCCTGGAAGAAAAAAACCAAGCCATTTCCCTCTGTATTCTTTGGGCCAGACTATCCCCTGTGCTGCCACTTCACCACTGCCACTCCAAGACCAAGGTAAGAGGGATCTACAGGTACTTCTCACTCAGATTGAGTGATACATACAGGATTTTTGGGGGGTTTAGCCAGCTTTCTCTTTTTGTACAGGCATCACTGGGTAGCCCTAAACAATTCCCACCAATGGAAGGAAAACATCTCCTCTTGCAAAACAGCAGACACTGACACATAAATATTCATTATCAAACAACATTAGGCAGGTCTCCAGCCCATATACAGAGCTGGAGTAGAAATGGTTAGCAGATGGAACACTTTTATACTGTGTCAACAACTCTGAACGGACACCCAAGCCGGCTAAAACTCCCCCCCCGGGTCACCAACCAGTACAAACCATTCAAGAGGTTCAAGCGCCACCTCCTGGAAAATCCCTTTCAGTTCCATTCTACTTTTACACCATTTGGTAACAAGGCAAAGAAACGAGGCAAAAGAAAAAGTTGTTCATCACTTCTTCTGGCTCACGTGAAATCTTTCACTGCCGAGTTTAACTTACATGCTACTACCACTGGCACATAAGAAACCCAGAGGGAGCTGATTCATGTTCGCCAACCACATCACAGGTTGGATCCTGCTGAGTGGTTACATTTGTAAAAAGATTTTCAATGCGTTGGAAAAGAGGTCTTGGCATTTTTTCTAGAAAGGCAACTAATCAAAGCTATAAGCTAGCAGAAGAGCATGACAAAATGAATGAGGTTCCAAAAATCAGAGGGAAAGCTTAGTTTAAGAGTACCCAAAAAATGTAAAGATTTTTCTCAGCCTACAAAACTGGGACTGAAGTCTGCAAATGCTTGTCAGCAGGTGTAATGCTTGTAAGGGAAGTAGTTCAATTACATTCAGTGGAGTCCCCTGTGAGCAAATGTTTAGCAGGGTGGGTAAAATTTGTGGAACAGGAAGACAGGATTTTGTTTGGGACTCAGGGATTTCAGGTCATAAAGTATAATGGGATCTTCTTTGCATTTTACCACTAAACCTGGAAATAGAGAGCACATCTAAACCAGACCTTTAAAAGGGATTTGGTCTGAAAAATGCACAGAAGTTCCATCAGGAATGTGTGTCTCCATTAAAAACGACTTGCCATACTGGTGAAGATCACACATCACACTATAGCCTATCAGTTTTCACAGTATGTGATATCTGCAGTGGAATGAAAGCCCAAAAAGGAACCTGTTGCTCAGATGTAGAGAGGAGGTGTTTCAGCTGCACTATGCGCCCCAAAGGAAAATGGCAATGGCTGCTTACATCAAAGAAAGTCCCCGCATGTTCCAGGATGAGCTGGCTGGAGTCAGGCTTGTTTTTGCAGTAGGTGACATACATCTGAAATTTATCTGCCTGTGAAAACAAACATCAAGAGAAAAGCAAGATAAGCTATTTCTCGGCTTCCACACAGTCTTTCATTAAGGCTCACCAGGATAAATACAGGTGATAAACCCCCATCCCTCAAAGAAATTTAAGAATTGCAAATTAAAAACAGAAGACTTATAGACAGTTCATACCTTACCTGAGCAGTTCTGAGGGGAATGAGGTGCACCATGTAACAGTGATGGGAGGCTTTCTTTAACAAGTGTCACAGAGGAAAGGCCTAAATCTTTAATCCAGCTATAAAATAATTTCTAAGGGCTCTAATGACGTTGCACAGATCGTATCCCACAGTCTGCAGGTCTCAAAACCTGGTCATGAAGTGTGGGCTCTATCACCTACCTGCAGATAAAGCCAGCGTAGAAACTCTGCGCAAGAGACTCACCTAGCTTCAACTGGCTCAAGCCAACAGTTTGGACTTGAGAGTGGCTCAGATTTGGGACGTCTGGCCCAAACTAGCCTTTCATACCTCTGTTCAGACTTTAATGGCTCAAACTTTATGTTGTGCTAGGAGTGTTTTGCATTTAATTTCCTAATTTATGTATTTATAAGAGGAAATTAAAAGCATCTGTGCACGCCTGCCTTAGAGCAGCTTCATATTACAGAACTCTGGTCTCAGGGAGAGGCAGGCCTCCTTTTATTACTATTGCATTTTTTATATCTGGTATCTAAATAACAGGACCTTGCAATCAGGCAAGCAGCTTTGTTATGTATGGCTGTAACCATGCACATTGCTCTCGACACGTACTATTGCTGAGATGATGTGGTAGTAGCCTTAAAAGTACCGTGAAGATTTTGCAGATAATATGTAAATGTGGCCATCTTTCATAAACACATAATCTTTTCTTTGTAAACAATATTCCTGAGTCCATGTCATCATTATTTGTGTCATGTTTTCCCATTAAAAACCCATTGGAAATCATCCACACATGCACATTTTTTTTTTTGCTAGTAAGTGTAAACCTTCCATAATGACTTTTAAAATACTAATTCCCAGCTTTGAAATATGAATAAAATCATCATAGAAAACATGAAGGTGGCTGACTTGCTTGGTAAATATTTTGAAAAGAGAACAACTTTCATACTGATAAATTACTGTAGCCAATTCCTGGAGCCTCCTACACCCATGAAGACTCTTAGAACCAATATTTCTAAGTCTAGTTGGAAATTATCCTGGCATTGGGTAATGGAATGAGAAAGCACAGAGGCTCAGCAATTTGACATTAATTTCTGAAGAAAAACATTGATAAAATATGTTATTCATACCTTTGTAGAGGTCTCATGGCATGACTGAAGTTCTCTAAGGAGGGTATATTAAGATCTTAAATGTCTGTCCTCCCAGGGCCCTTCACAAAGAAATGAGCATCACCCCTAAATACAGGTTTAGTTTGATGAAGGAAAACAGAACCAGCAGAGGTAAAAGCTGTGCTGCTCAGTGCAGGACAAGGACAGAGTCTCTGGAAAGCCTTCACACCACTGCTCAGGAGAAGAGTTAAGGGAGAGAGAACCTTTCACCCTGGGAGCAGTGAAGGACAAAGCAGTCATAGTTCCAAATTAGATCCTGATCTCGCTTATCACTACAGATGTAACCCTTGCACCAATTCCCACCTTGTTTCTGTCTATGTTGGAGGAATTAATTTGACTAAACCATGAATAGAAGAAGCCTCATTACCCAGGTGACGAAGCAGTGGCCCACATCCTCAGGCAGTTGCTCGTATTTCTCCAGTTCTTTCAGAAAAATGCTGAAAAAAGAAGACACCAATGTGATTACAGTCAAATACTCTGGAGAAGCAGAATGACCAGTGAGTTAATCAGTTCTAATGATCAATACTTGTATGTTGATTATGAAGCTAATCAAGTGTCCTGCTAGTGGAGAAAGCCTATCCTTGCCAAGGTGTGCTTTGGTTTTTGAGCACAATCATCCCTGACTCAACTAGACAGGAAAAAGTAGCAATCCCTTGTAGGGAGTCAGTGCACACAGGAGTGCAAAGTGATATTCAAGAACCAGAATCTTCAGAAAGATCTTGTGCAGTGGTTCAGAGGAAGTCCAAAAAGACCTTTCAGAGGAAGACCAAAAGTCCAAAGCTGCCAGCTTTTCATCACCAAACTCAGCACACTGGGCAAAGGAGAACCATTTAAACAAGCTTCACAATTCAAAGGTCAGTAGTAAACTCCCAAAATACAGATTTTGTAATCAACTCTCTCCAACACTGCGTACACATCTCTGTTTGCAGACAGAGCCCTGTACAACGCCTGGGTGGAAAGAGGAATGTGAAACAGAATTTGCAGAAGGAGAAGCAACTGAACGTGCTGTTTCCTCAGCCCTGAATCAGGTTGGGGCTGCCTTAACCTCACTAGCCAAAGCAGAAAATTGTGGATGATGCTGGTGGAGGCAGGGCATGGGAGGAGGAGGCAATGTATTTTAGCATTGCTAGAAGTTTTAGTGGGAAAAGAATTATGCAGAAGCAACAGACTAGAGAGGGATGGGTCAGAGAAAGGAGAAATGACAGCAACAGGGAGCTATAGGGTATGACTGAGGAGTGAAGGGGTGGTAGCTGGGAGCAAGGGAAAGTCAAAAAGGAGAGTAATTTGATGGAATCAGTCAGGGTCGGTAAAAAGAAAATATAGCACCACAAGGAGAGGGGAAGTGGGAAGGCAATTGAGTGATCCCTAGCATAGTTTTAAATGACTGAGTTCTAAATGGAAGAAGAATATTTACCTGTATGCAATGCAATTCTTGTGACCTGGAAGTCGATTCATCTATTACTTAAAGGTCTTTTAAATGTAATGTGTAGTTTGAATTTACTATCCTGATACGCTTTGAAGCTGCTTGCACAGAAGTATTTATATGGCAGCCTCCGTTTGACCATATTTATGTGTATGTGATGGCACATTTATCTGGCTGAAGCACTGCAAGTTTCCCAGAACTTCAACATGGAAGGGTTTTCTCATTTGTTTTTCAAACTGCTTTGGTTTTGACCTGTAACTTGAAGACAGACTTTGAAATTCAGACTCAACTTGTGGGATTCAGCACCCCTAAAGGTTAAGTTTATAACTGCCATTGCATTCCCATTATAAACAGGGAAACAATGCACTCTAAGCTGATCTATACACAGTCCCATCTTGATAAAAGGGAGTACTGTTAGTTACAGATTAAATACAGAGAGCCTCCAAGACATGGCATGAAAGCTACTTATTAACCCAGCGCATGACAACTATTCCTTTTTTTCCAAGAGAACATATTTTTGACAACAAGCTTCCAGACTTGATCTAGCACTGTGAGATGGAAAGCATGTATAGGACTACAAAGCACTGGTATAATACGACTTTAACATTGTTAAACAGCTGAAGGCAAAGTTTAAACTAAGATGCAACTCGTTTTTGTAAAAGAAACAAGTAATCAATCATTATTTTGCAAATCCAGATCAAGTACTTTGCACTCCGGTGTGCATTGTACTGTAGGCGTTCACTGCAGGTACCACATAGATGTATAGGTGTACACATGCCTTTGGTTTCCTTAGTCACTAAACATTAACAGAACTGTTAGGAAAACCTACTTGTTATGAAAGTCATATATCTCCTGAATATTTCCAAAGATGATGTGTTCTTTATTAAGGATCCCAGCGGGTATTTCTTCCACTCCACTTGTCATTTCCCAAAGGTAAGTCTGGAAGACACCAGCAATTCTTAGCTTTGTGATTAAATGCAGTGAAAAAGAATAGATCTCCCTGTTTTATTGCCAAAGACATAGGCTGACAAGGGAACTATGTACTTTGAGATTAAACAAACAAGCTAAAAAAAAAAAGTTTCAGTGCCACAGAAAGGTCTCCAGAGAAATTCAAAGTGCTGCCAACTACAAGGTCTTGAGGAAAAAGCAGAACCATTCCAACACCACCTGCCTTTGCTGTCCAATTGATGGTGTCCATAAACTGCAAGCAGAAACAGTTGAGAGATAAACTGGATTTGCCACTTCAGTAGCAAATACAAAATCTCTTTCAAATGGCAGGAATGTGAAAGATGGCAGATTTCACTGAAATACACTCTGCTTTTTGCCATGAATATCACAGTCCCCCTCAGGAATATCCTGCTGTAGAACTAGGAGAGGTATTTGACAGTGCAAATCCATCTCTTTCTCTAGCATGAGATGATCCAAAGGAACAGATTTGAATTCTTAAGAAAAATGCTCCATGATTCAAAAAAAAGACTAGAAACCAACAAATTTCAGGTTAACATACAAATATATCGCTGTTTACTGAGTCCCAGGACATTGCTCTCACTCTGCAGGGTGAGCGCAGCTTTGCAAATAAAAGCAAACTCAGGTGTCCCCGGAGGTGCAGAGATTTACAGCCACGCAGGAGCAGTTCTACCAGTGGAAGACAAGCGCCTCCTGCTGCCCACCCAGCTCCCACCACCCGCAGGACACAGCTCTGTGGCTAGCTATCCACGGTGGTAGCCTCACAGACTCTCGTCAAGGTCAGCTTTTGCATCACTGCAAACGATACCATGTCCCTCCTGAAAATACTGGAGACCTCCTGGGCCATAACATACCTCTAAACATTCGTGTAAATCCCTGACGTAAGCTTTTTCTGTCTGAAGCAGCTCAGCCATAATGAATCTGAAAAAAAACAAAGTATTTGAGGTGTTTTGGATACTACAGGCATTTGTACAACGAACAGAAAAAAGCCCATCCTTCTGTTGTCCCCATGAATCAGTGTACTTCCACTCTCAACCTTCAGCTGCCTCACTTTGCACCTTTCAGCTGCATGAATGAAACACCACTTCGTACCCTAGTCCTCTGTAGGGATATTCTCTAAATACCTTTTCTGCAGAAAATTCCATTAAGTTGTATTTCTGCAACGCTAAGGTGTGATTTACTATCTACATGCCCATCCTTCACAGTCAACTGATTCTCAGAATTTTTTTTCCCCCAGGAGTAAAAACTTGAAATTCACCGACAACATTTGCATCTTCACTAATAATCAGCGGTAAGTCACCCCGAAACTTGACCTTCAGTGGCAACAGGTGGATTTGGGAGACACCACCACTTTGAAGAGGCTTCAAGAGCTTAGTATCTGACTGGAGAAAATCTAGGCTGCTGGAATCCTAAGAACCACATCTGCAGTGCCTGAGGCTGGGCGTCTCGAAGTTGAAATCCCTAATGTTTTGAAAATGTAGGCAGACAAGTGGAAACAGCTTCTTATCAAGGTAATGAACTATAGTGACCATTTCAGAGGGCTGACAAGGATCGTACATACCAATGCTTTCCAGAATATTCTCACACAAAAATTAAGACAAAATACTGTGAACTTAGTCTGTTTCTAGATTTCAGTGCTAAAAGCACTCTCTAAATATTTCCTCTAGGGTGAAATATTTCTAGTTCTCTCAGTTGCACACCAACTGAAGTCTGAACCTGAACTTCAGGTGAAGTCTTGTGTCACCAAACCCAGTTAAGGGCTCTGGATGTCACTGGACTTTAGAGGATACCTAGACACCAAGAGATGCTTTTCATTTTTTCTGTTCCTTTTACTTTTCACATACAGACAGAAAGAAATCATGACAATGAGTAGCCCCACAACATCAGCATCTTATCAAAGTGCCTGACTCCCTCCTTTCCCTTTCCAAAAGTTACTTCTGATTAAACCCAAAAGAAATCCAACCTGTCTGTTTTGAAATTCTCTAGCCCACAAGTCTCAACTTCTGCCCTACACCCATAGACTCATCTCAATAGCTCCACAGCTGGAAGGAGTTACAGGACTATCAGTCAGTTCTGGTCACGTGAACAGCATCGAACCACTCTTAGATAATGTGTCACGGCAGACTGCGAGCATCTGGGGACATACTCTTTCTTTCTGGCAGACTTTCTCTTTTCTTCATTGACTTCATGATTCGCATCTCGCAGCTTTACCTCCCGGTCTGAAAGACTTGCTGGAATAATATCTAGTTCTAGGTCCTTGTTATCCTAGAAGAAGTGACAGTACAGATTTAAAATTAATTGTAATCCTCCCGTTGTGCAAAATGCAGTATTTTTGTGAGATCAAAATGGATAAGAAGGGACAAAAGTAAAATAAAGGTGTTGTCAGAAAGAAGGAAATTCAAAGAGGTTTAAAAGAAATACAGGGAGAAGGTCAGAAGGTGCAGAGAAAACTTCAAAATCTCCAACTACGAGCTTTCACAGTTACTCCTATCTAGTAATAGGCATTGATGACAAATGTCTAAATTTTACCTTGCTCCTTCACATCTAAATCAGTTGCCTCATATGAGATTTCATAAAGAGTCTGATAAAGTAGGGCACTATGCAGAGATAATCCCAACGGCCAATGGCTTTCTGCCATGGAAATACCTTTCCAGACTGTGGTTAGTAACGTCGTGTAAACCAGAGCCCCTACAAGGAACAGTACATTTAGGGTATCTTGAGGGTGTGAGGGAATTTATTCCTCTTGCTTTGATACTTAATTTTGAAGGATGGTTAACCAGAAGGTTTAAGTGTTTCTGCCTCTGGCACTCCACCTTATTACTGTGGCCAGGGAATAGCAGGAGGTTCTAATTTTTGTTTCTCTTGTACTGCTCTATTTCACCTAAAAGAGCTCAGAGATGAGGTTGGGGATCAATTTTCTGGTTAGTTAAAGGATGAGGGAATGGAAAGTTACAGTTAAAGCCTGAGTCTGATTCAAAATAATGGTGTGGGAGCAGGATTTATGGCTTACGCTAAAATTAACAGAGACTTTTGTTCCAATAATCTGTTCCCCTTCCTTTCCAGTAGCTCTATGGTCTCCTGGAGAATGGTGCAAACATTTGATTGGAAAGTCTTTCTGACCTTCATCTGTCTCCTCCTCACATCACTGATCTGCCACAAACCCCCTTTTTCTCTTCAGAAAGAGTTCTGAGCTCGGCTGGGTATGCTGGCTAGGCTTTAAGTGTTTCTAGTGGACACATGATAACTCGCAGAATTCATACAGTGACCGTCACTTCCCTCTGTGACTTTCAGCTTTGATATAAAACCCCATCAGGACATGGAGGTACAGTACCTCTGTATTGATTCCAAGGGCTTTTTCCAGGGAGTAGCGGTATTTCCCCATCCTGAGAGAGAAGTCGCGGTAGCGTTTGTCAACGGTGGTGACCCACTTCCTAATTTCAGTGGCGTGTATATGTCCTTTTTCTACAAAGCTGTCAGCCAGCTGGATGAGGAGCTTCACCTTCTCCTTTGTTTGCTGCCCAAAATATGGTCCTCAGTTATGTTGCATTATTATTATTTCCTCTGCTTTTAATTCACACAGCAGTCAGAAGCAGCTCACAATTTTTTTTATACATCATTAAAGAGTGCCTGTACTTCATCTTATACAGAATCAGATGCTTTAAACTTTGCCCAGTAAAACATGAAAGGAATGACATTTTTATAAGGACACTTACGAAGCTGCAGGAGATAGAAAAAGTCAAGTTTTTGAAACCACACACACACAAACACATAAGGAAAACATGTTGAAAGTTAGGCATGCCTCCTCCCCATAAGCAAAAACTTATTTTTTGTGAGCCTTGGAGCAGAAGACAGGATTTAAAAATCATACCTCATAAAATACATCAAGCTACTCTGAAACTATACTTAGGTGGTTCTGCAGACCTGTGTAGGCAGGTCATTAATACACCACATATCAGTCCAGGAAGCGTGTTTGAGTCACTACACTATGTTTCAGAAACAAACAGAATTTAAATCCAAATTCCTGGTCTACTATGAAATCCCCCATCAGTATTTTAGTTCCAGTTAGAGCCTAAACTCCAAAATATACACTGAGGCCCCAAAACCTTCCAGAAGTCTTTTCTCTTCCCCCTGGGCTCTGAGTGCCCCTTTGTCACTATGGTTTTCCATGTTGAGAACCTCTGTGCAAATCTGGCACAGATTTGAGCTAGCTATAAATTTCAGCTCAGATTCCAAATCTTTCCCAGGAACTGAAGGTGCCTGGACCCCACGTTTGAGCCAACTCAAGTACAAAATGCTTATAAAAACTGAGATATCAATGGTACAGACAGCTGTAATGCACATGTTGGTCCTCAAAAGCAAAAAAAAGAATCAGTCATATTCCCAGAGGCACTGGCAAGTTGCTTTCCAGAGAGGGGGAGAACTTTCCGCTCTGCCTGAAGCGAGATGCTGTCAGGTACTTGACATTATCAGCAAACTGGCCACAAATGGACAAATGCATGTCAGCCCATAAAACACCTAGCAGGTTTCAAACGCCAAACTAAACTAAAGAAATTTCACCAGCAAAATAAATTAACAGCAGAATTAGAGGCCACCTTAACACTTTAACTGAGCAATTAAGCAAGACTTGGTACGGAGGAGTAAAAATCTGATTTCCTGTCATGTTTAAAGGGTGATTCATTCCCATTCAAACTGGTGTTTTGCTTTCCAAACAATTGGTTTGGCCAGAAAGTGATTGGGATCAGGAAGGCTTTCAGTTACATCTTAATTTGAGAATAACACCAGGCTGGGAGTGACATGCATTTGCCAGATTGCATGTGGCAGTGAAAATACTCTAGGTCAGCAGTAGAAAAGTGATTTACTAGAGCCCTAGGGGGCAAGACTAGATGCATCAATGTAAGGAACAGCCAATAATGGTCAATAGGGATCAAGGTGTAAAACTCAGGCTAAGTCAAGAGTAGAAACAGTTTGGAAAATTCAGGATGCATTGGGATTATTCTGATTAAAATTAATTTATGAACTGGAACGTTAGGTCAATAGAGATCAAGGTGTAAAACTCAGTCTTAGGCTAAGTCAAGAGTAGAAACAGTTTGGAAAATTCAGGATGCATTGGGATTATTCTGATTAAAATTAATTTATGAACTGGAACGTTATTTCAGGTAGAGTGATTATGGGTGGTTACAGGCAAGAAGTACTGTTAAAGGAGTGCTGTACGGGTCCTGTCTGATCAAACTAACTTCCAGCCACTGCTAGTTATCTCCCATCTTCACAAACATGCAAGCTAAGGGAAAAGAAAGGGAACAAGAAGAACACAAAGCCTGTGAATCAAACCCATGGACAGCCTAAGAGGAATTTAAGGATTACAGAAGATCAATTTCAGGACACAGTGAAATGAAGCTACATAATTCCAAAGCCATGGCCTTGCTGCCGTCCAACTTTGCAATTCAGATCCTTATCAGTGACTGTTAATACCCCTGTGGATTCACTGTCTGTGAATTACCTATGGTTTGAATTAATTTGTCTGAAGCAGATCCAATCACCATTCCCTTTTAAACCCCACCAGATTTCTTAGAATTGCTCCATATAAATGAACACATTCCTGGGAACACAGCTTTGTATTAAAAAATGTTCACCCGTAGTTTACGAACCTATTTATTTAAAGTATTTTGTTGGGATCAGCAGATTATTTGTAACTAGATAAATGATCATCTGTGATCAACCCAGCTGGAATTAACGAACCAAACTGTGGTTGTAATGACAGAAGAAAGAGACATGGAATCCAAGATGACCTTGGATATATTCAGATCAACTAGCTGCTCTACATCATTCTTGTATGAGCATTTGAGGATGAATTAGGATAGGTCTCATTAGGTTGCTGTGAACTCTATGCAAATGGACTTCCTCTTCCTTCTGATCAGAACAAAAATGCTCCATAACCAGTACAGACCAAGGGGGAGAAAGCCTCCTTTTTGTGCTTATGTCTAGCTAAGAATGAAAGACCACAGTTTTCAAAAGGCATTTATCTTCTGGGCTAGGAATGTCAGGAGGAAAACAAGAGAATATTCTTACAGAGATATAAGGCTTTGAAGCACGATCATAAACATAGACAAAGGCAGATACCATACTTAGCTAAAAGTCACTGTCTACCTTGGCAGGTACTCTGAATTCCCCATATTCCTTCAGGAGTTCCTGAGTTTCTTCTGTTGACTCCCCTGTGGAGTTGTGAGTAGAGAGGTAATATTCGCCTGTTTCTTGGATCCAGTCTAAGGCCTGTGAATGTCAAAAACAACCGAAGGAAAAACAAAACAAACAGTCTTTGTATTTCAAGAACTAATCCTCTGACAAAAAGATATGCCAAATAAAGGATATCAAATCCATTAGGACTTAATACTGTGTACGCTAAAAGACTTCCTAGGAAAACATAGAAAGAATATAGTAATCAAGCCAGGTGGGAGAGGATACAAAAGTTGTATGTTTCGTAGGAGAAAAGGGAGTGTAGGGATACAGATAAATCTGCGCCCAGGGAAAGCAGTTTTCTCATTCAGTAATAGCTCAGTAAAACAGATTTGCTCTTATATTATTTTCAAACAAATTAACAAATCCAGAAATTAATCTGACCTGGCAAAAATATGTAGTTTTGTTGCGTTTTGCATTTTCTTAAACTGTTTTTCTAATCTGCAGTTGGCATCTTTTTAAAAATAGCAGTTTTTAAATACAACTTGAGATTGCAACAGGAACGCCACTCAGAGGCATTACACAGCTACAAGGAATATTTACACACTGCCAGGACAGAAAGATGAAGTGGGGTTTTTACAATACCTGCTTGGCACTGCGCTCAAAGACAACATATTGTTGGCACTGATCTAATCTTCGCTTCTTCAGGGTCCAGAAGTGAAGGACGCGGTTCTCCCTCTGCAGCAGCTCGCTCAGAATAGCTGTACAGCAAAGGAAACATCTGCATGATTAGTGATTCTGTGAGTGCATTCAGAAGCAAGCCATAAAAAGCTGAATTTACTCACTCTGCCTGAACCATATTCCCAAAAGCAGAACCCCTGTGATTGTACTTCTTTAAAGGTGTATCATCGGATTGTAAATGGTGCTCTTTTGACCAAAGGAAAGTAACTACAGACAGATACTTTTGCTGGTGATTGATTGAGGTGGTAGGACAATCAAACAGAATTCCAGAGACAAAAAAAAAAAAGCAGGTTCATCCTAGGGACAAGTAAGTGTAGGATTCATTGTTTCCCAGGGCTCAGCAGCAATAGGATGCTGTACTTGATAGGAGCTTATTCGTTGATCCGGTTTTAGATATTAAGGCAAAATAGTGTCTGATCATCTTAGCTGACAATCCATATGATGGGGGATGGCACAGTGTCACTCCCATGGACTCTCCCGAGAAGACAGAGAGAGCCCATGTTTCAAACCCCTTTCCTTTTTCTCCCCACTACCACTTGCAAGTGCCCAGCTCTGCTCCTGCCTAGCAGAAGAGGAATCAAAGGCCTCACCACCATCGCTACAGGTGTCAGGCATATGTATCATTTTAGAGACAGCAAATGGCAAAACTTAAGGTGCCTGCTCAGCACGTTCCCAGCTTTAAGTTGACCACACAGCAGTGGGGAAGGAAACAAAACCTTCAGTGTTGTTGTTGCACCAGTGCACCAACCTTTCACTTGCTGCTCGGGCCCCCTTGTATGGCTTGCTACTCCAGGCATGCTGACGTTGTTCCGGTGGATGTACTTGAGGAAAACCTCAGCATTCCTTCGTGCCAGCGTACAGGCCTAGGAAAAACAGTCCCCACCAAAAAGAGTCAGTAAAGATGAGCAAAGAAAACCAAGGGGACCCACGGGAGTTCTCTGCTTATTTTGCAAGGAGAAGTTTTCTTTCATATGGGAACACGAGAGCTTCAGCTAAGAGTCATAAACTCAGCTAATAAACTAACACCCTCATAAATGTATTATAACACATGAGTAATTTTGAATATAGTGGCTGATTTTATATATTAAGGCAAATTAATTACAGTAATAAAACAACTGGCTGGAAAGAGCTAGTACATCACACATTTTCAATCTAACCAAAGTTAACCCATCTTTCAGGAAAATTATTCATTGTTTCAAAAATTTACAATCTAGAGGCATAATTACTCCAGCCTTGCCTGCAAGCACAGTTTCATGTTGTATATCAGTTGTAGTGGAAGGTGGGAGGCTGGCTGCCAATTGACTTGACAGCCCGTCAGCTCCGCAGTTCTTACAAAGTAGCACCTGGAAGGAAATCTGTCTCCATCCTGGTGCTGCCCTGCACTGACACAATTGCTTCAGTTGTTAGTAGTTCTTCAGTTATTGGCTTGGAGGAGAGAATATGAAATGCAGGATGGTTTCTATAAGCCAACACCAAAATGCTGAATAATACCCATCATTTATAATGCTCATCATATGCAATTTTGGGAATTAGAACTCTGAACCACCACAACTGCTAACATCCTCCAAGTGCAATGAAAATACCACTTAATTAGTCCTGATGACATCTCTCTGAGATATGCATTTATGATAATGCTTATTACCCCTACTAGAACAGCATAAAACTGACCTAGGGCTTACACAGCCTGCCAGTAGCTGAACTGGAATTACACCTCAGCACGTCCTCTCAAAGTCACAGAATCACAGCATGGGTTGGGTTGGAAGGGACATTAAAGAGCATCCAGTTCCAACCCCCCTGCCATGGGCAGGGACCCCTTCCACTAGACCAGGTTGCTCCAAGCCTCATCCAGCCTGGCCTTGAACACTTCCCGGGATGGGGCATCCACAGCTTCTCTGGGCAACCTGTCCCAGTGCCTCACCACCCTCTCCGGGAAGAATTTCTTCCTGATATCCAATCTAAACCTCCCCACTTTCAATTTAAACCCGTTACCCCTTGTCCTGTCACTACAGGCCCTTGTAAAAAGTCCCCCCCAGCTTCCCTGTAGGCCCCAACTCACCAACGCTGCTCTAAACTGACTACTTAATGGGGAGTTTTCCTGATCTACTAGAGAACTAAAATGAGACCTTGAGAAAAGCCTCCTTCTGTTCCAGATGTTTGCTGATCAGAGGGATGACGTGGTCTATCTCAGCTGCTGGTCCAAGTTTATCTCGACCTCCACACCAGTCTTCATCCCTTCTGTATTCTTGTTCCAAGCTCTCTAATACGCTGCACACCTGAAACACGCCCATAGCACAACAATTAATTATCTGCAGTCACAATCAGGAGGAACATATTCAGTAACAGTCAATGTCCAATAATATTTCAGATCTAAATGTTTTGGACTATGGGTCATGACATGGAAGATAAGTGGATATGAAACAGGCCCTGGAGAAAATGGTCTAGCGGTTCTTTTTCCGCACAGGGCTCTCTACTGTTTGGGATGCAATTCATCTGGTTTAAGGGCAATAAATCCTTATTTTCTTCCAATGCGTAACTGGGGAGAAGCTCAAAAGGCTGAATCAAGGCAGGGGTTGGTGTTGGCCCCAGTAGATCATTCAGGAAACAATCCCTATTCCGGAAGGGTGCTTTAGATGTGTTTAAATCCCACTGAAGTCAAGGGACTTAGCACATACTTAAAACACATGCTTAAATACTTTCCTAAAACAAAATCTGAAGCTGGAACTAATTCTCTTCAGCTGCATGTTAGTTGCTCCCTATACAGCTTTTGTAGAGACTGATGGAAACCAACAGGCATTAGATCAGTGTCGCAACGTAGGTGGATGCAGGTGTTCCACTGTACAGAGCTTACACATGTATCTTTTATCTTGGTAGAATAATGGGAATGAGGTAAATAAACCAACACAGTCTGGAAACTGTAATGCAGTGGCCTTGGACAAGGCTGAGTCTTTTGCCTTGCAGATCCTGAGAGTAATTCTTAGTGGCCTGTGCAGACACCAGAAGAACTGCAAAAATTTTTTGGAACTTTCATCATCACTCCACTGCTGAGGTTACCCAAGATCCAGCCAATTATTGCTGGGGGTCCTGCTAACCATGTTCACCTTTTTCTTGCTCACGCCTGCAACTTTTATATGAACACAGTTATAATTCAGAGGAGCCTATGTGCTCAAGAGCCTCGTCTGGAAGAGAGTCCAGCATCACCCAGCAATCCTCCCCACTATTGCAGGCCATTTCCATACAACTCCATTCATGAATACATCAAACTCAGTTTTAAAACTGGTGAAGTGAGGTGAACTGATCAGCTTACCCTGCTGCCAGGCTAGTTCAAGGATCTTATGCGCCTGACAGTCTGAAATCACCTTCTTGCTTGGATGCAAACCAGCATTCATCCTAAACCATTTATTGGAGAGCAAGTGCCCCATGCATTATTCAGGCACTAAAAAGCACTTCCATTTTACTTCTTAGTTCTTGAAAACTTTCGTACTCTTGGATTTTGGTGACTTAAAAAATGAAAGTAGATGGACTGCCTGGGGTCCACACCTTTTCAGAAAGGATGGTCCCTGAACATGCAGGTATCATCTCTTTGTTAAGATGATTAAAGAAATGGCTATAAAGTGGGCTATCACTGAAGTCAGTAAAACTGGAGTGTTTGAAAGCCCAGGCTCCACCAGTTAGATCAAGAACACAGTATGCTTGGGGAAGACAGGCATGCCTTTGGCCGGTTGTGACAGTCCCTCCACCCTTTTAGTTGATTTTTCTAGATCCTCAGAAAATTCAGGATCCAATAAATTACTCGATCCACCATCATCCAGTCAGGGAGCAGACCATTAAGGACCGTAGGTCAGTCATGCGGCCTAGGAGAAGATAACAGACTACTTGCAGCAGTGAGTTTATGAGCATTCAAAGACTAAATGATCTTTGCCCTGAACATTTGCTGAATAGACACAACTAATGAATGAACTGCTGGGCACTGCAGCCTGCTTGGAAACAGGAAGAGACTGAACAGATAAATTACTGGCTATGCATAGTTTGGCCAGCACATTTAACTGTCTAAAGCACTAATGAATCCCTTAATGGTTTTCATTTCTCACAATCCCTCACCAGCAGTAATTCATTTCAATCTTGAATCCATCAGGGACTGTAAATCTGTTTGAAACTCTTCACAGTGAAAGACATTCATTATAAAAGGAATGAATCCATCTTAAACAGTGTTAAAAATGTATTAAACAAATGACACCAAAAAGTGGTCCATGGATCATCTACAGCTTCGATGTTAAGGAAAAAAATAATCCCCCTCCATAACGATATATTTAGTTGTGCTAAAAAACTTCCCATGACTGGTTCACTAATTGAGGAACTAACTGTGTGATAATAACAATAGAAAATTTAATGAAAACCACTGCTGCCTTTTGTATAAAACCACAGGTTCCTGCAATGTCCATGCTAGCAGGAACTGTGGGCTGCAGTAAATTACATCAGGCGAGGCTATTCGTATATCCAAGCTACGACACTAATTCTCACTGACTACAGTATAAATGGCATCTGTTTGTGCAAGGGATGAATAATCCCACCAAACCAGCGGCCAACTGGAGCGTGTTTTGCAATTCATGGACACCTGGAATGAAGTAAAGTTGTGTTAACATATAAATGGTTACTGCTGTAATTGTCTGTTGCAGATGGATTTAAGAGAAATCCCTCCGTATCTTGGCATCTTTTTTGGTATGGTGGCGTTTAACTACTAGTGAAAACACTGTCTAGTACAGCTCACAAACTTACGAGTACTTAATCACAAGGAGTTCTCAAGGATAAAACAGATTTATATTCCTCAAAATTAATTCTGATATCATGAAAACTTGAAACAAAAATGGTGGGATTTCAGAAATTTTTCCATTGGAAAGGGGAAAATTAAAAAAAGACCCAAAAAACCCCAACCCACTAAAACCTAACTTCAAGAACTACATTGCTTCACTGAAAACTTTCAGATGAAAGTTACTGCAAACTGCTGCCACTTTTTGTTTGCCTTTTTTTTTTTTTTTTTTGTTTTCCTTAGAGGTGTGTTTGTTACAGTACACATCAAAGAAACAATTTTGACTAGTTCAAACTTTGGTTTCCATGTGTGCCTTAGCATTGCTATGCCAACGGAGTATATGTCCTGTCAGTTAATTCGGCCTGTGCTGTAAGAATGTCTTCTTCCCTTGCTGGCAGATCACCCTCTGCACTCAGGGTCAGAGAAGAAAACCCACACCCGCCAGCACTGCTATATCGTGAAGTGCACTCACATTGCTGTTTACCAGCTGCGAGCCACCTGAGTGCTCACCACTGGCCCTGTTCAGGTGACAGAAAGGTTTATACGCACCTAGTGTGGGCATGAAGATATGCAAATATATGTAAAAAGAAAAAAGAGAGTTTTTAAGGGCAAGGAGGGCTGACTGAAGCCACGCTCAGGGATTACTCAAGGAAAAGTGAGAAGACCAAGCACTGCTCCCTAGTGGTATCAGCAGAGCAGGTATTTGGAACAGTTCAGCACTCTGGAAGAGTGGGGAGGCTGCACTGCTGATCTCGGCGAGAGGCAAGACCGTCGCACTATACGCTGGGAGCTGAACCCCAGGCTGTAGCAATATGCCGCGGCGCAGATGTGATACTGTTCGGCTCACCTGCTCAGAGGTTTTATAGAAGGCCACCGAGGCATTGACAAGTTTGAGCCTGTCCTCCATCTTCAGCATCAGCTGCTGCCAGTGCAGGGCCACCTTCTCAGCACACTCTCTGATAGCATCGGCATCGTAATGCCCCGCCTGCAGCAGCACTTCAGCTTTCTGCTGGACCTGCAGGGCACTCTGGTGTGTCTTCTGTAAGGAAGTGGCATGAAAGAGGGACTGTGTATGAGGGGAGGAAAGAGAGGTTGTATAGATGTGCCAGATGTATGGTAGAAAGGTGAAGTGAGGTGTGACCATGGAGATGCGAGAGAGTGAAACATTTTCAGTGTTATCTTCAGGTAACAGTTACTTTCTGCAAAGCATTTTAGTTTCAATTATTCACACACGTTTGCAACGAGTTACTAGCGCTTAGGACAAGGGGGCAGTGGCTAAGAGGGGTTAGCTCCACCAATTAGCTACTGCCCCTTGAGCAACAGCCCGGGGCGGCGTTCCCAGTGGATCCCTTTTGCCAGCGCCAGAGGAGGCAGCTGTTGTGCTGAGCTCCCACCCAGCCCGTGCTCGGTGCTGGCTGCATCCCACACAGTCCGCACATTCAAAAGCAAACACCAAAGAGTTGGCAAACTATGGGCCTAACCACCCTAATTTGATTTGTGCCAGGCAGTTTTCTGGCATCAGCAGTTTTACTCATGTGTGTAATTGTCCTGTCTGTAGGACACAAAACATCAACCTCAGAAGACATGAAGATGCCTTACTAAACGGTATGAAGTAGATCACAAACAGCAGCCCTACAAGATACATTTCTGAAAGCCAGCTCACTCATATCGGCGCTACACTATACTACCTTTAAGAGCAGAGCTAGGGGGAGTTGAGCCATTTTTTCCACCATTCCCAAATTTACACAGCAGTCACCTTACAGGCAGAACTGAATCACCTGCCCCACTCCCCAGCCCACACCAGCTCCTCTCAGAGTAACCAAGGGGTGGTTACACCTTCCTCTGTGGGCTGCTGAGAGGAAAATAGCCCCCAGCCCTTCACAACCTCCTCAGTAACTGTGTTCAGGCACGGTTTAGTCCAATATTTGATTTTAATCTTCTGAACAGAAGCCCTAAAATCTCCCAAAGACTGCTCTGTTCTGCATCCCATTTGTAACTGCTGCTGACAAATTCTCATGTGATACTTTTATGATCTAATCCTTGAACCTGGAAAGAAGCTTGAAATCATCTGGTAATACACTGATGAATAATGCAATGTAGAGAAAGCTATTAGCAAAAAAAGGATTAATACTTGGCAGAAACATTTAGGAAGATGTTCAAGAACAACTGGTTAAATTTAATATCCAGCTGCTTTACTGATGTTAAGAGTTGTAATACTTGTTTTAAACAGACTTTAAAGGATTTCAGCTGAAAATCAATTCCACATCTAGAATGCCTTTAGAGAACAGTCTGCCCTGTGTGCTTTGCTGATCTTTTGCCCATATTGAGCCTTAAACACTTTAAATATTTAATCTAGTGGTTTTTTCCCTTTGAAAACTTACTTTCCCCTTACTGTGGTGTAACCCTCTTCTCCCTCTGTGATCTGCATTTACCACCAAATACAAGCACTTCCCCAATGGCAGCAAGCTGCGATAACACAGCCAGTGGGTGTCTTGCTCCCCGCTGCTGTCTGGTGACAGCTGCCAAGATGCGGTCAGCACAGCTTGGTACCAGCCAGCTCAGACAGAATTGATAGAAAACTTCTTCCTTTTCCCTTAGGAGCTGCAGCAGCTGCTCCTTCTTTAGTGTGAGTGGAGCTGGATCGAAATAGGTCATTAGCTGAGATTTAAACTTCATATTTACTATCAACACTATAATGTACATTGACGTATTTATTACCAGAAGACATTAAAACACTCCCCCAAACCCAGGGATCTCTTCAAGTCTCCATTATGGAAATAATACATTCATAGGTTAAAGTTTGGTTTAGTTGTGGTTATTTTCAGCTTGTTCTTTGCTCTGTAAAAAGGTAACAACATGATCTGGGAAGCATACACATCCTGTTAAGCAGCAACAGGAGAAAGCAATGGCCCCTCTTTCTCACAACTGGAGTGAGCACACCCTGTGAGTGTAGGGTTTGCTCATACTGACAAGGATGGATAAAGCACTGAGCCTAACTGTGTCTTGCAGTGCCCTGCTCGGGGGAGGCCATAGCCCTCCGGTGCCTTCTCCTCCAAAGGAGAGCAACTCAGAGGAGGTGCTATTCCTCCTGCCATGTCCCGGCCCAGTGAGGAGGGCAAATCAGTTGGCTCAGGATTAGTGTTCAAGGGCCAGCTCGAAGATTTTTTGATCTTTTCAAGGGCCAGATCAAAGATTATTTTTTTACTAAACAAATTATCAGGAGATGCATGAGTGTAATTTTCATGTATGGAAAGGATGATATCTGGCAGCCAAAGAATTAGCTGCAGATGATAAATAATTTATTTCACAACTAACTTCTGGCTGCAATTCGAGTTTAATGATAAACTGAACTTCTAAAGTTTCTGTTCCTTCCTTCCTTCAAGCAAGCAGCGCTCAAGAGATAACCTTGTGTATGATGTTCACCTGGGAAGGAGAAAACAAAGTTAAGTTATTTGTGTTACCTCTATGGCCAGCTGAAACTGCTCATGCTCTCGCTGGAGCTGCTCAGCTTCAGAGAGGGAGCTTGCATTGACAAGGCTTGCGTTCAGCATTGATTCACCATTCCGGATCCAGCCAAGCACCTGTAAAGAAAGGACGTGCTTATGGAAAGGTTTTTCCAGTACAAAGGTTTATGTAGCCACTGATTAGAAAATGCTTCAGCCCAGCTAACAAAAAGGTATTTTGCCAAGTGTGGTCACTGAACCAGTGAGCAGAAAGAAATCCTAGAATAAGGACAATAACATAAATTTTTAGAGGGCTAAGATCTTATTCAAGAAGTTATGGCTTGAAGAATTAAACTCCTAAAGTACTGAAATGGACATTCAGATAGCAAAGAGCTTCCATTTCCAGGGTTTGATCACAAAAGTGAATGTTCCCCAGTGCAAATACCCCAGGGCAAAACCACAAAGGGAGGGAGATTTGAAGTTAAGCATAACTATCGCTCTTTTTTTTTTTTCAAATTTCTAGCTGGAATCATGGACCTTGCAACTCCTTTCTGTTCCACTTGCCTGTGTTTCTTGCATACAAAGTCAGAGCTTGGGGTGGAGAGGGAGTATGCACAGTTGGCTTCATCTGACACAGAGTTAAGATGCCACTGGAGTTTTCACCTGCATGCAGAGCTAGGAAGAAGTCCCAGGTCTTGCATTTTATATTTAATCAAGATGCTTTACTTCAGGGATATTCAGATTGTTTTTAGGCATGCAATCCATGCTGTAATGGCTGCAGAATCAAATCCTAAATATACATAATTAATATATCAAGCTTGTATTTATTCATTTAAGCAGCAACATTTTCTGCCATTTTAGGACACGTGTTTGGAAAATTAGCACCCAGAACACATGTGCAAGTTCTTGGCTGTGTTATCTCAGAGCCTATTTTCTACCTGTGTGGGTGTCAAATTATTCCAACAAATCCAGAAAGTTTCTAAATCCAACTCACAGATGCACAGGAAATCCAGACTGCCCAATCACTGCCTTAATTTAGCTTGTGATTTACAAAGCTCCAAGATTGACTTTGCTGCAATATTCTACATAGTAATTTCCCTTTTGTGCCATCATTTTCACCAAGTGATCCATTAAATTGCCTGAAAGAAATAGAGATTTTCTGTTTTCTTGTTTTTTATCATGTATCACCCTAGTTATAGCCATTCAGTTCCCTGTAGGGTAGGAAAATGAGTTTTCCCTAGGAAAAAGAAAGGGGAGCCATCTACACATGTAGCTGACCCTAATTTGTAGAAAATTACATTCTGCTCAGTACAACAGTGTGGAAGATTTCATTTGTCAGCTTTCTCCCTTTCATCAGCAGGTGTTATTGTTCCTGTGGGAAATGCAACAAAGATTTAAAGGAAAAGGAATCGGGTTATCATATGGCAATCTTTTTGGCTGGCATTTTCTCTAATCCATCAGACAAGAATGCTACATTATTGCCTACTACATGGTACCAAAAGCTGAAGTTAACCAAAGGATCACTGTATCTGGGAAAAACTTGAAGTGAGAACATCATCTGAGTCTCTAAATAGTAAATAAAATCACTGGAAGCCTCAGTCTTAAAATAAACTAGATTAGTGAAAAGCTAATAGGCAACAAGGTTGAGTGAGGAGGAAAAAAGACCATACAACCAAAAGCAGCCAGGTTTCCTCTAGTGTTGATGATCCATGTGCATTCCTCTGTGCAGCTGCCTTACTGACTCAAAAATCCTCAGGGTAAAGCAGTTCAGGTCAGGCACTAATGGACACCTTGTCTGCAATGCTTACCGCACCATTCTTGACCAAGGCTGCAGCCACCCCTGATTTGTGCCCCTCCAGCCTTCTGCAGAGTGTGGGTGCAGGCACTCCCCCTCCCAGGCCAGTGAGCACCCAAGCACTAGCAAATTTTTCTTGAAAGAACATAACTAATGATCCCATTCTACTTCCCAAAGCCTTAACACTTAAATGTCAGGGTCTCATTTGGGATTGCATCAGACTTTTCCATAGTAATGTTTTCCTCTTAAGTTTTTTCCCCTCTTCTTTTGTGTGTGTCGTTTACATACTGTGTAAAAAAAAAAAAAAAAAATTTACAGTTGCATGCCAGAAGCTTCTTAAGTCTAAGTGCAAACTCCAGTCACCGGCAGAGCCTTGCTTTGTGTCACTGATTTGGGAGCAGAGTGTGAGATGGCTGGAAGAGACCTTTTACACATCTGCATCTGCTTTACAAGACCTGCTCACAAATCGACTCCTACTTATATGGTGCTTGATTCCTTTTCATTCAAATACGTATGGAAGCTGCTAATGCAGCAACAAGACACTTCTCTGATCCTTTCCTGTGTTAACAGACTCGCCGTCATCTGACAACGTGCAGACAGGCCAACAGCACGAGATGGCTTTAAACAGACATTCCCTACAAATTACAGATTTTATCGACTTTGTAGAACCAGTGATTAAATAATTCTGGAGTTAAATAAATCTACAAAGACTCTCTTAAAAAGCCCAACCATTTTTTTTTATAATGGAGAAGCAGAAACACACTGACAGTGTCTTAGACAAGCCACTTGCCACCTTACAACAATTTCACTGCAAGGCACAGGTTGGCTAACATGGCAACCCCCATTGTGCTGAAACGACTCCTACCTTTGACTCCAATTTGCTTAAAACAGGCTACTCCTGCCTATGGCTCCTTTGAAATTTAACAATAGTACCAAGTTCTTCTAAAATTCATACCCTGAAACTGCCATCTTCACTGAACATAGAATCAGACCTTACAGGAAGATAAAGCGTGAGGCAGCTCTTGTGCAGCCGTCCTTCAGAAACGAGAGCTCTGCAACACAGAGTTTCTGTCTGCTGGTGTAGTTCAGCCAGAATGCCTCCCTTCATGTTCCAAAAAAAGACTTAAGGCCCTGCTAATGATACCTTTCAAGTTATGTGGGAAAAGATTTTCAAGTTTAAAAGGCAAAATAATGTAAGCGAATCTTTATCATCTCTGGACCCTTTGCAGCTTCTCTGAGAGGCTCTTACTACCACAAGACACAAGCACCAGCAAGGCCACCTTCTGTTGATTTTAACCATGTTCAAAACTGCATCAGGTTTCCAGGAGCTCTGTGACATCTGACTGGGAAAACCAAATATATTCAGCGTCTCTCAAATGACTGGTTCCCAATATCCTTTGGGCATATTCATCTGGAAGCAAATCGAATGCCAAACAGCAAAAGTGGATGGATAACAGGCACAAGAAAAAAAACAGACTTCTAAACAACCTGGAAAATAAGTGTAGTGGGACACTGTGAGGATATCTGGGAGTAAATTAGGTCAAGTTCAACACTTATAAAACAAAATGGAAATAAACCATACCAAGATACCATAAGAGGATAGGGAAGCCAAACAGCTGCAAGCACAGCATTAGAGTTTGGTTTTTAAACTGATCTCCATGACTCTGTTCTGCCATTATTTTTAGGTAAGCAATCCAAGCTCTGTAGTGTCTGTCGGAAATGAGTGGGATCCAAATGAGGGGAAAGCAGACTTGGTCAGGATCTTTCTTAATAAAAAAGAGTTTGGAAATCACTGATCTATACTGTTTCCACTCTAAAGCAGTTCACAGAACATCTCATTTGGAATTGCTCTGCTTTAATGGCCTCAATCTTCGACTCATTGTCTTGGCATTCGAACTCTCGGTGCATATGATATAAAGCAGAAATCCCTGGTAAATGAAACTTAAATAGATAGAGACAGTTAAAAGACTTTGTATTTCCATGAGCCATTATAGCGAAGCGCAAACACATGTACATGTAGCAGCCTTGACCAATATTACTGTGTCAGCAGAACGTAACCACAGCTACAGTAGGTGTCTTGCTGCAACCACATCTCAACTGACTCACGGGGGGAGAGCAATTTGGTAATGAGATCATCCATCGTCTCCGATGCACTAAAATGAAAGTGAAGGAAATCTGGAACAGACTGGAGATGAACTCCAAGCCAAAATCAATATATTTCCCAATTTCACTAAAAGCTTGGGAATATGACTCATCTAGAGGAAACCAAATAGATAGGGCACAAATATATTTTACCTTGCCTCTTTCTAAGGGAAACTGTAGCTGTAATTTATAGGTTAATAAGCAAAGGGGTCCTTAGTATTCAGCTCAACAAATGAAATGATTCTTCGCTCTTGGTTTGCTGAAAGGTCAACCAGTAATGAAGGCTTTGATGGTCCCAAGCTCCATTAAGAAAATACTAATTCAAGGCAGCTGTTCTCCTCTCAAAGTAAGTATTAGACAGTTCAGTCCTAAAACCATTTTCTTTGGTTAGATTTGGCTTTGTAACACAGTGAAGGTCCAGCAGATACCTGATAACAAAGCAAATATCATCAGACACAAATATCATCAGCAGAGAGTGCAGCACTGCCACTGTAGGGCTGCAGGAGCAGCCACAGGGTGGGCTGACTGGCACTTCATCCAGGTCAAGTAGTGGAGTGACACTTGCTCAGATGGTGACAACCTGCATGTTTAGCATTTCTGCTACACATATTACTCCTACCTATTTTCTATCATAAGTTAAAATGGCTCTACTTCATCATAAACCTACTGCACAAAACTCCAAGCTTAGCTAAGTTGTGTGCAAGAAACTTTGGTAACCTAGGATACACCTTAAAATCATATTAAGCTGGTGATTATGAATATCAGAGAGTCTCTTTTTTTTTTTTTCTTTAATTCAGAAGAAAGCCAAAGCACTGTCTAGAGCTCTGGAGATCCATGAGGAGTTGGCCTTCAATCATCACAAATGCAAAATGACTACATTTGCAAAATAAAACTTTATGAGAGTTCTGTGCTACTACTCATTTAGGGTTGCAAAATCACATCAAAGTGAACTTTGAAAGAAAATGTGTGTGCTGATGTTGGTGCTGCCAGCTTCCAGTTTGAGAGCTGTCCAAAAATGAAGGAATTTTTGTCATCAGTGATAAAACAATTCAGGTAAAGCATCACTCAAATATTCCCTTTTGAAGGAAGAATAAGTAGTCACGTGTATTGAGCATTCAGTCTTATTTTTTTAGTAAACAAAGAAGCAAATATTTTTCATGAACACCGTGTATTTGCGGGAAAAAAAACTAACCAACCAAACAAAACCCAAACCAAAGCTACAAAAATACCCAACCAAACCAAAAACTCCAATTTGTCCTGGTAAAACAGAAACTTGAATATTCCAAGTGTCTGGAAAAATGTTCCTGGTTTTCCTAATGAAACCAAGACCATCCCATTAAAATCCAGACATACACTGAAGTCTGAAGCCACCTGTGGATTAGGAAGCAGGAAGTGCAGTGTTATCCTGCCGTGGCAAAGGAAAACAAAGAAATGTGAGGCATCCAAATTAAATGTCAGGGGAAACCTAGGGCAGCAGAACACATCTGCCTACACTAGGATGAAATCTGGAAGAAAGGCAGTGTAACAAAACTAAGATTTATAAACAAGTCCTAGGATCTAGAGACCACAGACAGAATGTTTTATCTCACCCAGATGATGTTAAAAGATTTCTGCAGGTCAACAGATGAATTGCAATAAATGAAAAGGTGAAACGACTGTAACATCATACTTGGACCTCACAGCTCAGTTATCCTTTGCTTTGGGCCAATTCTCCACAACAGCTTAAGTCTGGATCCCAAATCAAATCATTATATTCCCAGAACACATGGAGTGGGAGGCAGCTTCTCCAGTTGAGAAGTTACAGGGTCAGTTCTGCCCAGACTTCCCAAAAATACTCACAAAGCCAAATATATGCACACTACAGGGGACAGAGCCCTTAGTTATTTCTAAAGGGTCATGCTGCAATCTGTCAGCACATCAAGTATTGCTATGGAAAGGGAGATTAAGATTATCCATCTCTAAGGTATGTGATTTGGCAGAAGATGGTTTAGCAGTCTGCATGTATGTAATGGCTGAAGATGCATTTAAGACCCTTAGGTGTGGTTAAAAACTCACCTGCTTGACTTCAGCCTGTAGGTGCCGGAGCTGTAGGCACTGCTCTAGCCTCTTGTGAGTCTGGTCAGCATTAAGCTCCAGCTCATGCTGTTTCTCATGAAGGAATTCCAGCAGTTCTTGAACCTGTGTTGCAAGATCAATGTCTTTTTCACAGATCAGCTCAATGCCTGCAACAGAGAAAGAGGGATCATTACACTTACCTGAAATTTCAGTTGTTGCACCCAACACATTTGCAACTCTCCGAGCAATTCTTTCTCACTAAACTCTCAGACATGCAATATTTGGCTTTCCCAGTTTCCTATTCTGCATCACTGTATTTTTCTACAAAGCAGGGTTTCTCTGGTGATCATTGCTCATCTCACCCATCAGCATCTGGCTAGTAGGACATGATTTAAGCACGCCTTTGCTCAAAAACTTGCATGAACATCAAATTGAACAAAAAAAAATACAGGAAAGAACTCTTTTTCTTATACCAATTTGTTAACTTAGACTTTAGAAATGCATGTTGAAAAGAACTTAGAAGAGAAAAAAAGATAAGGAACAAAATAGAAAAGTGAAATAAAGGATGTAAACTCTAGTTGCCAGATCTACTTCAGCACTACAAGCATGTGGAACTCCGCAGTGCAAAATTTTTTCCATCTGGGCACTTTAGAGGATCATTAACAACAAAGTAGTTTAAACTAACCTATAGTTCATTCAGAATTATTCCACAGACTGACCTTCATCCAGTCCTCACACACCAGAGAGAAAAGGTGGCTTAGTACTCTATTCCCCATCCCTTGCATCCTGCATGAAATTGCTAAACTGCTGAATGACCTAGTCTAATCTCATAGCTGACCCTGACTTGATCAGGAGGTTGGAGTAGAGACCTCCTGAGTCCCTTCTTCCTCCTGAATTGTCTTACGACCCCTGTGAGCCTTGTGTGGTTACACAGTGCGCAGAGATTCACATCTTCCTCCTTTACTGCACTGGTGCGATAGCGTTGCTGGGTACACTACCAGTGTAATTGTGAAAGTTTGGCCTGGAGGAAATAGGATGTTAACCCTCGTTACTGTAATCCCTGTGATTATAAACTAATAAAGACCCAACTCTTCCCTTATTGAGGTCTACTGGAATTTTGCCATTGGCCTCAATACAGGGAGGATCAGGAACCTATTATAAGAATAATCAGAATGCCGTAAAGCTGAGAAAACCTTACACTTTCCACCCAAGCCATTTGACTGCATGGAATAATAGGACATTAAAAAATGTGTTAATTAGAAGCTGCTGTAGAAAAGGCTTGGACACTATTTAAAAAACCCATTTAGAAAGATGCCTTTTCTTTCCCCTTTATTCTCCTCAGAGACTTGCGACTTATTTTCTCTCTCAGAGGGATATCTACAGAGGACATTACACAAAACAAATGTGAGCTTATGATCAACTGTATCCTCTTCTTCCTGGTTTTATCAGAAAAAGCACATGGGAATGCAAGTGATTGGTTTATTCCCTTTTCCAGCCAAAACAAAACTGTTCCTTCATTACCAAATAAAGTGGAATGGCCCCTGGCTTCCCATTTAGAACTGGAAATTTAATATATGTTTCTATTCTTGGGAGTGAAGTTCCTTTCAGTTGCCAGACACCAGGCATTGTTGCTACAATTAGCCTGCATATGGTTCTGTATCCTCAGGACATGATGGCTTTTTGTATGCTTGACTTCACCACACCTATTCGATATTAAATGCACAGTTTTCCTTCATGCACACTCAGCCGGTATGGTTTTGATTGTACTAACTCATCAGCAGCAACCAGTGAACTGCCTGGGATGCTATCCAAGGGCAGCCTGTGCTCCCTATGATGAATGATCTGCCCTTTCTTCCTTGTCATATGTCACGCAGAATTATTCTACAGTGCCAGCACATGCAGTGAGAACACTTATTCTTCTCCAAGATTGGGTTTACAAAACAGAAAGCCCTGTTTTCAGAATAATTTCATACTTATTATCTTTACACTGTGATTTTATAAAGAAAAGCATAGCTGATTTTCCGATAAACCAAATTTGGTTGCCATTTTCTTCTAATGTTTCGGCCAGTGAAGGACAATGAATTGAAAATGTTTTAAATATTACAGAAAAGAGTACTGAGCCACAGTAACTGGCAGCCTACAAAACATACATTAGTTACACGTGAGCTATTTGCGATGTGAGATACTATTCTGCGTAAGGAATTGCTTTCTGATCTGTACAAAGCTGGTTTAGAAAGTGTTTTGAACCTGTTCTTAGGCTGAACTATTGCTGGTGACAGGGAAGTTTTATATCCTCTTCCTTGTAATATAAACTATAGTTTAATTAACTATAAATGACATCACAAACAAAATGAAATAGATTTGCATTTCCCTTTTAAGCAATACAACACTGGGAAAAGATGCGAATGATGTTAGCTTGACAACCAGGAAACAAAAAGGCTCTGAATTTTCCACATAACAGGTAGGGACTGTACAATTTTGCCCAACATCAGCTTTGCAGTGTATTTCAGGTTTGACATTTTTGACTTTTATGACTTAGAAGACAAATTGCTTCTAAGACATAAAAGATAGCTCTGTAAATCATGAGCAACTCTTAATTCTGGTGCTCACTGTGACAATGATATCAAAAATACAAATTGACTTTAACAACCAAATAAAATTGGGCAATCAATTAATCAGCTATTAGAGTGCAACTACTTTTAGTACCTAGAAGCAAAATAACTAAAGCGTGTTTGTTAATGAATTACGCGGATGTATCATCACTGCAGTTCAGGTCGAGATGTTAAACCGCTGCTAACCGCTGCTGTTTATGATCCTAAACCTTCTGTAGGAAATAGGGCTTGTTCAGCCTGGAGAAGAGAAGGCTCCGGGGAGACCTTATAGCACCTTCCAGTGCCTGAAGGGGCTACAAGGAAGCTGGGGGGGACTTTGTACAATGTCCCTTCCAACCCAAACCATTCTGTGATTCTGTGAAATGCATTTCCCCGAAATGTCTGAGCTGCCACTTTTGAAGACACTGGGCCCTTTCAACATACCAAGTTAGACACCTCAAAATCAACCTCCATTTTTGAGAATATTTGCCTGCATATTTAGCTTTGCAATCAGTAGAGCTACAATCAAACTAGAAAAATAGAAGATAGGTTCATTGAAATAAAAAGTGCTGGCTCATTAAAAAGTCCAGACTTCTTGAGAACACTGATATAATACTCTCTAAATACAAATATATCTTCTGAAGGACACAGATTTTAGTGAGGCTTGACGACAATTTGAAAGCACTGCAACATTTCGGAAACACAACCTGACTTCCAGATTTTAAATATCCCCTAAAAAACCCAAACATTTCTTTGAAGAATAATTATTCTGATGGTGAAAACAGACTAATCCAAACCAGGCTCGCCCACACGTGCCAGAGTGGCAGAAGAAACCATGGGAACATAACTCTGAGCTGTATGGAGCTCTGGCAATACTGAACTTGTGTAGAGGCCTCGCATGCACAGATGCCCTCAATATCTGCACGAACTTTGACAGGGTGCATCCCAGGATGACTGTATTTATTGTACCAACATGACAATGTACACAGGAATTTCCAGACGCTCCACAGCCTGCTAAAAATCACTGCTTCAAATCTGCATCGGGCATGCAAAAATCATGGGTGAGTGTCTAAAACTTTCTTTTTTTCACCTGCACAAGATTTCCAAGTGAAAAAGGCATCATGAGCAGAAAATCCTGGATGTAATTTTATCTGACAGACTCACTAGCTTAAAGATCTCCAAGCCAAATGTCAGAGTAATCAAAAATGAATCCGTTTCTTGTGTGACACGATAAAAAGAATAAAGCTCAAAGAGAATTATAGGAAAGGGGAGAAACTTGGTCAATTAAGGGACTAGTTAGGTAGAATGCCCATGAAAAAAACTGCATTTTTTCTGGCTTTATCTTCTATGGCAACAGCTTAGTTTTGATTGTAGCGGGGGTGACACTGCACAATAAGAAGCAGCAATAGCAGCTGATTTCTCAGAATCCCTGCAAGTTCGCAGCTCTAGCAGTAAGAACAATCATCCCTTAACTTATGCACTGAACAACTGTGATACAGCATTCCGAAAGGAGGAGTAAAATTAAATGAATTTTTTATGGAGTATAACTGTCCTTTATTGAAAGGAGAAACAGTAGGCTCCCAAGAGCAATCTCTCTCCCTTATTTTGCCATTCTCCCAGCATTTTGCATTCCGTGCGTGGCAGACATGACCATTACCTTTGATTAACTACAGTTCCTCTACACCCCCAGGAGGCTTCTGCTTCCTTGCGTTTGGGAGCAATGGATTTTTATTGGGTAGGTTTCATAGAAAGTGATCTTAGATAATCTTACAAAAACATTTTAAAAGTCACTTCATTTAGTTGTTAATCTTCTGTCAGCAATCCAAAAGAAATTGTTTCTAACTTCTTGAGAAACAAAGAATATTTTTTTTTTCCTAAAAATCAGTCACTGAGACTCCTGAATGTGCTCTGTTCTGGATTTTATTCCCTACCTCCCATGGATTCCTACTCATATTAAGAGTCTTCTAGGATTTAAAAAAAAAAAAAAAAAGCAAGCAAGCAAGCATCATAACTGATGTATTAGGACAAGATTTCTACCCCAGAAAGCAAGGGAGCTGAATTTCAGGACCAGGTGTAGTGTGAGCAGATCTCAGAAGCTCATGTGCATGGTTCACACAATGCACCGAATTTTCTAGTTCACAACATACTCTTGTGGCATTCCTTAAGCCTCTGCTGAGTGCAGCTTGCCAAATCAGGCTGAATGCTGCCAGATTTTATTTTTTTTAAAAGGTGGGTGTCTAGAGGTAAAAAGTTTGCCAAAGAATAAAACCATAAAAATCCTTCATATTTTGAAAGTGCAAAATGGGAGGGAAAGAACAGGAATTGCTCTTGCTTTGCACTCTTT